CAAGCTTTTGTGCTGCTTTTGCCCCTATATATTATGAGTGCATCTTCCATCTCCTTGGCTTGAGCCAATCTTTCAGCTCGTTTCTTTCCAGCAGGGTGAGTCCAGGAAATTAGATAATCTCTGATGATCTGAGCTAACCATCCATCTTTCTCTACCTTGTCATCAAAACCTGCACAAACCCCTACTGCAACTTGAGGATCATAGCCAGCAGAAGCCATCAACAATATTGCAACTTTATCAGCTTCAAGGTCGATCCTATCCAGGTAAATAAAAACCTCATTCATTTCTCACAAAATATCAGAAAATTCAAATCCAGCAAGCAACCATTGAAAATTGATCATACAAAAACCCGAAAGAGGAATTCAAGAGGCACAACATACTTCCAAGAGAGAAGATTCCTCCAAAAAAAATCAAGTGTCTTCTTGACACTATCAAACTCAACTGCGATGCACTTTTTAATGACTTCATAAACTCCGAGTTGTAGCGTGACAACCCAAAGCACCTTCGTATGTCGACCCACAACATGCCCAACCTAAGTATCAGGACAACAAAATTGCAAATTTATCATCAAATATATCTGGTAAAATGAACAAAAGTTGAACTTTAAAAGAGAGCTTAACGATTCAAATATTAGGAAAGGTATAAAAAGTTATAACACCTCACGAGCAATTATGGTTGCCAGCTCGGCATCACTTGCATATTGCTTAAGTGCCCCTGAAAATAAAATGATTTTCCCACCAGGCAAACAAGCAGCATTAACAGAAGGATCATCCACCACCAAAACTTCCCACTGAATTCCCTCAAAATTAGGAATTGATTCAGACTTTTTCTGTTGATTCTTTATACTCTGCTCAATCTTCTTGTCATCAAGGATCTCATTACTGTCACATGTTTGCCCCTCTGTTTCTTCTCCAAACTTATTCTCAGTTGATGCATCATGTCTAAAATCACTCCAGGCCTGCTCATCATGCCCAAATCCTCTCTGTAATGCCTCGATAATGTCTTGGGAGATCGATTTTACTCTCAGGCTTGATGGGTCCGTAGCAGGCAATGCTTGACTATCTCTTTTCACCATCATAAATGCAGACTTTCCAATCTTTAACTCCATATTTCTTGAAAGATTCAAAAAATGGATTCGTTCCCAGAAAGGCACGTACTCTGAATTAGCGTGAAAAGCAACACCGAAAACCAACACACCAACGGGCAACAAGAAGCGCCATGGTCCTAGTACCGTATAGAATTGATCGTCTTCATCGCGGCCACGAAACCGGTAAAATCTCTCATAAATTGTATTGTGCCGATTTCCTTTGGTGCAAACAGGGAAATAAAGTTTAGGAGAATGAGGGGAACGCAGAGAAAAGCCTGAAATCCTTGAACGGGAATTTCTACAGAAGGAATCAAACATACGCTTTGCTCTGTTGAATGCCATGACGTTGAGGAAACTCTAACTGGGATGGGAGACGAAGGTATGCAAACTCAAAACGTTGGAGAAAAACTTTGATTTAACTACAAAGCCCTGGAGCTGGATATTCTTATAGGAATGGACGGCACTGTTTAGGCCCACAATACGCCATCGGCATTGGGAATCCTTTTAAAGCCATTGTATTCCTACCGACAATACAACAACCTTACAGAATTTAAGGCCTACTCATTCCTTCTCAAAATAGGATATATTTTTAAATTTTATTTTTAAATTAAAAAGTAAAAAATTATTATTATTTTTAGTAATTTTATTTTTTTAAAAATAAATAAAAATAAAAAATTATTTTAATCAAAAGATAAATAATTAAAGTTGAGAAATAATTATAAAATTAAAGTATGAAAAAAATATTTGTTTTTTTAAAATAAAAAAAAACAACTATTATTTTAAAATAAATAGTAAATAAAAAAAAGGTTTATTATTCTAGAATGGAGGGAGTATTTAGTTTAGGGAAATATTTTACAAAAAGTTAGAAAGTTTTATACATTATTAAGTTTTGTAATAAACCTTTCTTAAATTTTTATTACATTATTAATTTTGTTGTGTTTGATAAAAAATTAATATAGGGAAAGTTATTAAATAAACTCAATATAAAAATAGTTATAAGGCAACTTTTTAAAAAAAAATAAGTGAAAAAAAAAAACTTTGAGTTAGAAATTATATCAAGGAAAGTAAAGATTAAAATGTCACTTTTACCTTTATTTTGTTATAATATTAATATATAAAAATACATAAATCATCTTAAAAGGAGAAAAGTGTTGATGCATATTTTTGTAAAAGGTTAAACTTTAACTCAAGTAGTTTCCACGTCATCAAGACTTATCTTGATTTAAGTGCCCATTGATGTGCTCAATGTGCATTTATCAAAAGGCGCAACCATATCTAATGGACAATACATAGCTACATCACCAAATATATGCAAAGAAGTCTCATTCTTTTTTTATTTCCTTGTTAAATTTCATCATTTTCATTAATTGATCACTATTTTTATGTGCAAATTATTAATAAACCCATGAACCCAAGGTTATAGGGATTATTCGGCATAAACTATAGGTGTAGTGGCTTGGCAAGCATGGATAAATGAACATTGCCTGCTTTTCGAAATATAATATTTGTGCCAATTAAGCTTGGGGCTGGTGATGCTACTCGTCTTCACTAGGAGGGGATGGGTAACAAATATGTGGAGGCAAAACTTGATGCTAAAAATTACATTATTTAATGCTAACTAGAAGACTTGCAATCTCATTGAAGATCAATTGGAGATGTCATTGAGTCTCCATCATCATTCTGCTCAGCATTTAATGTTTGGATGATGTGCAAGTTTCCCATGGACAACTACGCAAGTTTTACTATATGGGAAATGGCAAGAGAGATTAAGTTTAGCTTGAAAAATCTACCTAAATCTTGAATAGAGAAAGATTTGCTAGCAGTATTCAATTACACCCCAAACATGGCATTATGCCATTATGTATAGATATGAAGTTGCTAAAAATGGGAAGGCTCCAGCAAACCAACAATCCTTTGTTGAAAACGTTGGAGAAATCTTAATTACACATCCACCTTGTTAGAAGTGCCTAGATCATCCCAAAACTTGACACTTGTCCTCACCTAGCACAAATCTAATTGTATTGCTGGGCTACTCTGGCCCAATAAACTCAAAATTACTAAAATGCCACTAGCTAGATATATATTTGATTTTTCCTTCATTTTTGACGTACAAAATGGGGGATTATTCATTCCACAAGCATCAGAACACATTCAAACACATTTTCATCTTCAACCTCTCGACTCCCATACAAAAACTCCCCAAAAACCCCCCATTTTCTCATATTTTCTTACATTTCTAGCCATACAAATTATTCTCCAAACTTATAGCTCATTATAGTTGGAGGATTTCATGCCATTACTTGAGGTTCTAAGTTATTTTTCTTGAGTATTAGAGGATCAATTAGTAGCAAAGTTAGCATCAACATACGAGATCAAGTTCTCCATCAAAAGCTCCCACAATGGTCATGCTTCCTTCTCCCATCACTACTTTCTAGTTTATTTCTTCTTGTATGCATAGATTTGGTGAAGGAAATTATTATACTTTCAACTCTACCTTAAAGGTTATTTATTTCAAAAGTTCATACATTTTTTGAAGATAGCGAAAGGCACATCTACTATTTATTTATTCTATTCTACAACATATTGCATTTAGATATGCCCCTTTTATTGTACAAGTTGACATTTACACTTTCTATCCAAGCTACTCTAGTTACAATGTAACTCACCCATTCGTCTCTTTTTTATGGTTCTATAATTGTCATATGGAGGCATCATCTTCATCTGGCTCTTCTAGCTTGGTTGAAGAAGGTACACTCTCAAACTTCGTTGGAGGCATCATCTCCATCTAGCTTTTCTAGCTTGGCTGGAAAAGTTCACTCTTAGACTTTGCTGGAGGTATTTGGTTGCTTAATACTCGTCTTGGGAGCACTGTCATCACCCCACTCTTTTGGCTTGGTTGGGGAAGCTCTATTTCTAGACTTTGTTGGAAAAAGCTTCTAGTTTATCCTTATTAGAGGGAGCATTGTCATCGCCCCACTCTTCTGACTTGGCTAGGGAAGTTCTATTTCCAGACTTTGCTAGAGAAAGCTTGTAGTTCATTCTTACCAGATAAGAAGAAAAGGGGAAAACTCTGCTTTGCTCTTTTAACTTAGCTGGGGAAGTTTTATTATCAGATTTTGTTGAAGAATATTGTGCAGCTCATCTTCATTGGATGAAGTGAGATGGCTCGTAGCACGTAACCTGTTGCATGTGAAATGAGAGCAAACTTAAAAGATCCTCCTCATTTCCGTAAGGGGCATCCTCATTAGTTTCCACATCATCATTGCTGTTGACTCATCAACCCCCTCCTCCAACAAAAAGTTTAGAGAATTTAGAAGAAAAATTTCCCCCCAACCAATCACCCCCTAAAGGAAAGGTTGGGGGAAAACTTTCCTTGTTAAAAAGAGAGTAAAATTTGTAATAGGTTTTAAATGGGTTGCATCATAAACAACAATGGACCACTATATTCACATGACTCACATAATTTGTTGGTAGAATTACATGTGATTTCAAGCTTAAGTCTAAAATTTAATTCTTAATATTTGTATCTACAAAAGGGCAAAACTCTATATTAAGCTAATGAACGTATTTCAAATTCTTGATTAAGTTTTTAAATTTTTAAATCAAATAAACCCCTAAACTCAGTGATTTAGGCATTTTAACTCTTTTTTGTATGACAAACTTAACACATATTTATGCCTTACTTATGTAGACAAGGTCAATATCTAGCATGTAAGTCATGACACGTCAGTAATTTATTCATGCAAATAAGGTGCAAACAAATATTAAGTTTATTGCAAAAAATAATTAAATTACTCAAATTATTAAGTTTAAAATTTATTTTTTTAAATAAAAGCTCATAAACTTAACCAGATATCTAAAATAAATTTGGAGACCTAAAGTAAGGTCTAGCCTTTACAAAATTCACGTCCCTCTAATAAGAAAGAATTGAGAATTCTCCACCCGATGTCACCAATCCTCACTGTGCTACATATTACTGGGATCATTCTGACTAAATTTCTGTGTGCTAATCGTTCTCCTGTACTTTCCTGCACACAAACATTAAGTACAGCGAAGTTTGTTCTAAGTTGAAAATTAATTACAATTACCTAATTTCAGATTTTATGAAATTGCGATTACCATCCTGTGAGAAGGTGAGTTTATTTATGAAATTCAAAATGATAGACAAAATACAGGCAAACAACATCTAATAATATAAGACACTTTATTTTCTCTGCTTTATAATATATTGTACCAAAGAATACAGTGTGTCAAATGTAACCTTCACATTTTCAGCAAAATTTCGCCAACATGTGGCTGTTGTAAATAAAAGGAAAACTATAATTAAATCACTATATTGAGAGCGGAAAAAATGATAGAAAAAAATTCAAATCAGAAGTTGTAGTCCACCCATACTCTCATATTGAAGAAATTGTCATCATTCCTTAGTTGCGGCCTCGACCACCACTCCAACCATTTGAGTACCGATTATTCCTTCGGTCAGAGGATCCACCTCTGCCACCTCTTCCTCCTGAGAACCTACCACCACCTCTGCCGCTATTTCTGTCACCAAAGCCACCCCGGCCACCACTACCAAACCCAAATCTTCCTCTGGATTGGTCCCTCTCTTGCAATCGAGGCAATTCTTTCAACACATCCAAGCTAACACCACCTGCATTTTCCGCACCTGCAACGAGAAAATGACAAAAAAGATGCAAAACCCGAACTAAAATGGTTAGATTAAAATTAAAAGTTAAATTCCGAATAAGAACTAAACTGTGAAATCTAACATTAAAATACGTTTAGAACCAGCATGTTGCAACTAGCAAATGAAACGTTAAAGAAACCACTAATTACCAATCGCACTCAGATAGTAACAGGTTATTACAATCAAGAAAATTACCAGAAAGAAACATATCCAAATCTTCTTTTGCCACATCAAACACAGCACCATTTCCATCAGCAGTGAGTGTCAGACCCTTCACCAACTCAACCTTTTCCTCAGGCAAGAATCTCCTCAAGACACCATATGCAAATCTTATACATGAAAAGGATTTCAATCAATAAAATTTAAAGAGGACATTTGAAGAATGTAGGCCACAAAAATTGTGATGATTGTCAAAAATAAAATACAATTCATCATACCTAGAGGGGGAAAAAAATGCTATATAAAAAAAAATGATGTGGATAACAAGGATCAAAGAGTTGATCCAGGGTACTTACGATGGTGTGTAGATCGGTTTACCAACTTCAAGGAGCAATGAAACATGGTCTTCCATGGATGTAAGAAGTGATCTACTCTTTATGTCAGTGTAACCCTGCAATAATCATATAAGATTAGATTTACACAATTAATGCAGAAAGAAACCACCATATAAAGAAGTATTCAAAACAACAAGAATACAAAGCTTAAATGTTGGTAACCTACAAGTCCTGGGTTCAAACCCAGGCAACCTCATTCAACCACCCGCTTGTAAAATTGCCCTCCCTATTTCAGAAAGGAAATTCCTTGGTTGATAAAGAAAAAACTCACCGCAGCCTTGGCAAGAGCTTTTGCAAGTAGATCTTCAGCTGATAGTCCAGAATTTTTCAACAGCTCCTGAGCAACAGACTTGAAGGCCGGAATTACACTGCAATTTCATGCACATCATAAGCATCTGTAGTTCATAAAATTTAAAGCACACATCAGATATCAGCACAGCTATACCTATCAGATACTTGGGTTATAGTTTCTGCTGCGTCTTGGCCAGCCGATTTCGCAACATCAACTGGCTGAGGAGCAGATATGTGCTCAAATTTCACCCCAGATTCACGTTCTATCTTAGATATATTTGATCTTCTAGGATCATAAAGCATCACAGCAACACCAGTATTGCCTGAAATGACAACAATGCTTCTCAGTATCTTATCAAAGTCTGGCCATCTAGTACAAAATGAAGAACTAAATTGTTTCCTTTACCTGCTCTTCCTGTTCGTCCAGATCGATGGATATAGGCCTCAACATCACGCGGAGGCTCACACTGAAAAACAAAAGCACTGAACTTGAGCATATTTGAATCAATGAAAATTTGAAGAGTATCTAACATATGAACACTGAAATAGACCTGAATAATCAACTGCACATCATTGATATCCAATCCCCGTGCTGCCACATTTGTAGCCACTAGAGTTGCAAACTTGCCTGACCGGAAGCCCTTAAGGGTGACCTGCAAGCATACAAAAAATTGAGTATACCTGCAATTAACAAGCTCTATAAGTTAAGATCACTTAACCATGCAACAACAGACCTCACGCTGAGCCTGCTGTATGTCCCCATGCAAAGCCCGTGCTCCAGGCAACAATCCAGCAAGCTCAGAAGCAGAATCCTTAGTCTCAGTAAAGACAATTGTGCGGCCACCACTAAATCAGAAACCCACAAGGAAAAATTATGATATTGATTTGGCAAACCATGAGGAAAATCCATATACCATTGAAAGATAGTTACTTTTATATGTAGAAATATACCTACTATAACAGCGAATTACATCTGGAATTAGCTGAGACATTGCTGTCTTAGAACAGGGCAGGACTATATGTCTTACATTGGTACTAGCCTTCATTTTCTCATTACCAACAAGATCAACTGTTTTTTTACTTGGTTTAAGGAACCTTGCTGCAATCTGACAATGCAAACACATGTTTTAGTCAGATGTATAACATAATTTTTTATATTTTCAACTATATTCTGATATGATGAACCAAAAAGTTCATAAATTTTAAAGATATTATGACTTAAGATTTTGGAAAACATACATTCTTCACCCAGTCCGGCAAGGTGGCACTGAAGAGGAGTGTCTGAACTTTAGTCACGTCCTCTACCTTGCCTACAAAATAATAAAGTTTTGATTGGCAACATTGAACAGCAAATTAAGCATGCAGGGAACACAAAGTCTCACCAGTCAACAAAAACAAACAGGAGTGTGGTATGATATGTTTTTGCACATTTATAAACTTACAAGAAAAAGGGGGGAATTAGCAAACACAAAAATATGTACCTAATATGAGTTCGACATCTTCAACAAACCCCATTCTTAGCATTTCATCAGCCTCATCTAGTACACGAAACTTTAATGATCTGAAGTCAATATTGCCCCTCTCTATGTGATCCTACACCAAAAAAACACATTATAAAATCAAACAATGAAAATAAAAAGCTTCTCTTGAATAAAAATAAAAATAACAAAAGCTCACCTTTATGCGTCCAGGGGTTCCAACAACTATATCAACCCCTCTCCTCAATTTCATATCTTGAGCTTGGTAAGAAGCCCCTCCATATAAACAGCACGATGCCAAACCCAATGCCCCACCATAAACTTCAAAGTCAGCATACACCTAAAAGAATATCATAACTTATCATAAACAGCACTTTCAAACAAATGGATATCTCTGATAATTGATCACTCGTGTCATACCTGGTTAGCCAACTCCCTAGTTGGTAAAAGTACAAGAACGCTGGGTGCCCTGCCATTTCCAGTCTTCCTTGATGCTTTTGCAGGCCCATTTGTTAAAGACTCCAATATGGGCAACACAAAAGCCAACGTCTTACCCTGAAGAATTTCAAACACGACCAAGGAGCTTATTTAGAGAAAATCCCATGAACATCCACACAACAAATGTTTAAAGTACATAATATATTTGTTCACATGGTACAAAGCAATGCAATCTATTCAGGCATATTATATTGAAAATTGCCCAGTGTTTTTGTAACATGCCCATTGTCAATTTAATTAACCAGACAGCATTATCAATCCTTGAAGTTATTTTGTCATTACATAAAAAAAATGTTTGATCATAATAAGAAAACTGTTCCTTCTCAAAAAAAATAGAAATTGTAGCTGAAAATAGCAGACAAAATAACCGTCTCTAACACACCTGACCAGTACGTGCGCGTCCAACCAAATCAGAGCCATCGAAAATCATATCAAAGGTCATGGCTTGGATGGGAAACAGAGATTCAATTCCCTTAGACTTCAGGTTCTCCCTCAACACCTCAGAAATCCGAAACCTGGAGACCGCATTAGGATCCTCACTCTTCCCTTCCTCTTGCTCCGCCTCCTCCTCCACCTTCGCCTTCTTTTTCTTCTTCTTCTTCTCCTTCTCCTTCTCCTTCTCCTTCTCCTTCTCCTTCAAATCGACAGGCTCGACAAGCTCAGAACTCGTCTCGCTCTTCACCTCATCATCCTCCTCCATTTCCACCACCTTACGCTTCTTCTTCGACTCCTTGTGCTTCTTGCTCTTGTTATCGGTGTCTGGTGTTTCCAGAGCAATTTTCTTCTTCAACTTCTTCTCCTCTTTCATCTCTTTGGCCTCCGACAAAGCTAAGGAAGGCATTAGATATCAGAAAGAGTACAGAGAAAGTGAGATTCTGTTTCTCCTGCTACAGAAGTTGTGGCACTGAGGCGCAGAGCAGGAGAAGAGAGGAGGACAGAGAGGGTTAGGGTTTGCGTTTTAATAGTTTTGGCGGTGGAGGGATTTTAGGCCGTCGGATCGGAAACCCTACTCAGTGGAACATGGACCGCTGGATTAGAGGTGATATTTATTTACGCTGGGCGGTCAAAATTTTCCCTTGCTCCAGCCTTCAGGATTCAGGCGTACCCCACCCCAAGACCAGTCAAAGGCAAGCCGGTTACACTTGATCCCCCTTAGATTTGATTTAATTTAATTTAATTTTGTGAATCACTTAACGTCCATTTTGGTGTGGCTGAAGTTTGTTTTTTTTTGGTTAAAAAGAACCTATCATAGAAGTTTTATTTTTATAAATAGAATGAAAAATAAAGATAAAATAAAAATAATGTATTAATTTCATTAAAATTCAAATAGAAAACTCCCACAGAAGCATTTTGATGCCTTTAAAATTTGTAATGAAGTGCATAAAAGATTAACTTGTAAAAAATATTATAATTTTTCACAAATTGTAGTGTTTGATGTAATTAAAACTTTTGAAATCCAAAGTGACTTATCACTAACTGTACCAAACATAACCTTAGATAGTTTAATGGATCATTTTATTTCATTTTATAAATAAAATAATTACAATATTATTTTATAATTTAAGATGATTTAAAGTGTATTTACCATTTATGTATAAGATATCAATGACTTATTAGTTCAAGGAAAAAGTAAGGTCTCAAGTTTGATAAAAAAACAAGGCGTTAAGAATTTTTTTTTATATAAGATCTAATACGACTTGATTTTATATTAATCAAAATCAAAATAATTTTTGGATACTTAGGACTAATACCAAAAACAATTACTAACAAAGATTGAGAAAAATATCAAAAATGATATTGAAAATATTAAAATACTCTTAATGTTAAAACATTGTGATTTTTACTTTTTTTTTTTCCTTACCAACATTACCCTTAAGATAAAGAGAGATACATTTTTCCCCTCCTTTTACTCCCATTTTTCCTTCTCCCTTTCTCCACTTCAATTCCGATTGTCAATGGAAGCACTGCTTGGGTGCCTACAACAAGAGCATTGACTTGATACTTTGGAACAGAGTAGAGTCAGAAGTGCTCCCAAACCACCAATATTCTTTGAACAAATATCAGTGGTGTCATTAGTCTTGCGAACAATAAATACAAATACTTAACCAAAGATATATAGGTTAAAAATCCACATCCTATGCCACAAAAGGCTAATATCTCAAAGCAAGAACCTGAGCAAGTATATAAGAAAATGCCAATGCTTGTACATAATTGTTCTGTTATATGTTCAAATGCAAATAATTCACCAAGGCCTAAACTAGAAAGTGGCAGAACAAATGAAAGCTGAAATGATTATTACAAGATTATGATTGCACTGAGAACAAAGCCAAGAATTACAGATATTGACCATCTGTGTCTACTCTGGCTATGCACAGACGAAGAGCTATGGCACAAATTAAACCCATACCAAATATCACTGGGGACGAAGGTATTATAGTAAAACGTAACAGCCCTTGAATCATAACCATAAATCTTGACACTCTCTGGCTTCCAGCCGTCTGGTCCAGTTCTGTAGAGATATGCATAACAGATCTGATATGCACATGGGCCATGTATCTCAAAGGTATCCGAAGAACATTGTTCAAATGTTCTTGTCGATGGATCATCAAGCCTCGGTGCATATATCTGATTAACAATAGTTTGAAACAAACATAAATACTAATTATCAACATGAAGCCAGTTCAATATATTAGAACATATTCTGCGAGAATTATAATATTTCATGCAAGCACAAATCATGATGATTTCCCTTTCATGAAAACCAAATTCATTTTTTCATGAGATAAAAAACATAAATCATACTTAATCATCAAGCACACAATATCCATTTTGTCATTGAATGAAGAAGAGACAAAAAAGGAATAGTCATTATATATTTAACCCAATACTTAAATCCAATATAGTCCTCCTTATATTTAACCCACATACTTCTTCATTATATATCTGGACTGTGAAAATTGTGCATGTGGGTTCAAGACAAAGCTGATATCTAACCATAAACCAATTGGCAATAGGTGGAGTAGCCAATGTAATTATTGAATTCCTAGTGATCCTAAGGGTGGGACAATTATCTATTTGGTTAAAAAAAAGCAGAAAAATCAGCTAATTTGTACACAATTTAATGAAGTAAATTGTATTAGTAACTTGCAAGTTACAACTCCATCAAGAAAGGAAAAAAGTAGCTATGCTTACACAATCATTAAAATCATTATCCTTGGCAATTGAATTCAAAAGTATTGATAAATTGCCTTCAAGATTTCATTCTTATCAATGACTACGGCCAAACAAACCCTTAAAAATCCAATTTTCTTGATGCAAGAACTAAATCCCAGAATTATAATTAATTCAATCTTTAATCCTCGAGTTTATTAGCCTAGTTGGTATTCAAAGACATAGCACTAAGAGGTGAAAAAACGAACCTGATTGCCGTAAACATCACCAAAAGCAATACTGATCTGATCCCGGGTGTATCTGTTGGAAGAACAGCTGGTTGTGATAATCACCGTATAAGAACAGGTGGATGCCAGATTCTTTGCCATGGATAAATTGAGAAAGAAGTAAGAATTCATAACAAGGAAAAAAAAATAATTGATTATAAAAGAAAGAAAGAAAGAAAAGAGTTGTTGGTGGGGATTATGTGTACCTGAATGTAGCTGACATTGAAGGATTCGAAAGCTTGGGGTTTGAGGGGGTTGGATTTGGCTTCGGAAAGGAGGAAGAAAAGGAAGAGGAATTGGGGAAGAATACAGACTGTTCTGATCTTGGACTTGTTATCCATGAGAATTGGAGAACAGAGTGTGTCTCCGATTCTTCTGCTTTCTGAGTATGAGGAAACGAGAGAGAGAGAGAGAGAGAGAGAGAGAGAGAGGACGAGGAAGGGGAAGGGACGCGATGATACCAAAAAGGTTTGGGAGAATTTATGAATGCAAAACAAAAGATGAGGAGATGAGGATTTGGGTCCATATACGCAATGGCAGATCTGTCTTTCAAGATCCCAGAGTCGTGTTTCTGAATGTTTTTTATTTGACTAAATTTTCATAAGGCAAAACTCTACATGCCCTCAAACTTATCTTAGAATCTCAATTAAGCTCGTAAACTTTTATTGAGGCAATTTAACCCCTCTTCTTTATGATAGTGATGATTTGTGCATTGCTTGCCTGGATAAAATACTGATATATCATTACATATGTGGTGGGTATTAACTTTATTTATGTAAATAAAATATAAATAAATATTAAATCTATCAAAATATAAAAGGTTGAATTGTTTAAATTAATTACTTTTAGGGCTTATTTACCTTAAATAAAAATCTAAGAGCTTAATAAAAAATTTAATAAATGGGTATTAACTATGGCTTATATAAGTTTAGTCTAAAAGATAATTTTTTCTCTCAAAATAATTTATAAACTATTAATTGCATATTAGAATGGCTTATTTGACCAACATTCGTTACCTATACCAACAAATATTCAAGTTGCCAAGTTGGGGCTAAGTTACGTTATTACCCTATTCTCTTTCTTCCTGTTTAAGCAACTGAAGTTACTGAATCAATATTACTAATTTAAATATTGAAGTATTTTCTTGAAGATTTATTTTAGAAATTTCAAGTAAATTTAAAGTTCATATATTAAGAAGGTGGTACTATAAAGATAATTTTTTTATCATATTTTTTTATATAATTTTTATATATTATTAAATAAATGAATACATTTAATATTATAAGTCTTACATAAATTAAAAAAATAATTATTTTAATAATATGTCAAATTATATCAAAAAAAAATATAAAAAATTATATAAAAAACATTTCTCATATTAAAATATTTTTTTTCGGCACGTGGCAATTTAGGTGGTGCAATGTTAGCAGCCAACCTAGAAATTTGTTAGTCTAGTTCATGGATATATCACTTTGGACAAATTGCTCCATATCTGAAATTTATACCGGATACTTTTCAATCTTCACCTCTAAACACATATTAGCCCATCTCTGTGGACGCCGTGAACTTAATTAAAAGAAGATAGCATATTTCTCTTCTTTTTCTTCTTCCCCCGAAACTATCTCATAGCCTTGTTCTACGAGATTTGTAGGAAAAAGAAAAATGAAAAAAGAAAAAAAAAAGTAGAAGAAACAAAGCAAGAAGGCCCAACACCACTCCATTGGAGAAGGCCCAAAGCTTGTTTGGGCCTTAAATCATATAGTTCGAGGACAACAAATAAGGCCTAAACCAAGAAAAAAGAAAAAGGGGTATACATGGGGTTTTGTCCCATCTCCCCTAAGTTTTTATTGGTTTTGTAGAAGTCTTTGCAGTCTGCTACTCTACTTTCCTCAATTAATTACTTCCATAGAGTTTTTTTATTGGCATTTTTTTTTAAACTGAATTTCAATTTCGTAATTAAAAAAAAAAAGAGGATAAAAATATGAAATCTCTAAAATGTATACCATTCTTCTCCAACTACAAAACAGAGACTCACTTATTTTTCATTTTATTGTTCTTTAAACAAAATTGAAACAGAGAGAAAAATGAAGCAGCAAGTTTTACTAATGAAAAGGGCATTCCGTTTCCGGTCGTTATAAGCAACTTGGGGAAGCTTTGTGTTTATAGAAGAAAAGTTGCATTAAATTCTAATGTACCCTTTTTGAGCCATGTGCTTGGGAAGTTTAATGTCTATATACCAATCCTAGCACATGAGAACCTTATATAAAAGGGCCACCATCGAGCCATCGAGCAGACAACGCGAGTCCCAAGGATAGAGTTGCCTGCAACATTAATTTTCACATGTCCTTATTTTTGTTTTTTTTTTACATAATTAAAAAAATAATTATCTCATATTATGCAACTAAGATAAAAAAAAAAGTCGTATGAATTACTCACAAACTCTTATTTTAGGTCATTTATTTAACGTAC